CTGGAAATACTTCCCCTTCCAGAACACCTAAATTTAACTTAGAAAGTGGTTAGGTTGGTTTTACTCTCACCTAAGTCTTCTTTTTGTAGTGTTTTGTGGAGTGTTCTTTGTTTATAATTTAAAGGTTGTTGTTTGTTGCAGTATATCATATTTATATTTCGTTATTTGTTTGTATGAACATCAGGCCATTTGTTATTCTCGTTTGAACTTTTTTACATTTTGTTATGTCTGGATCTTTAATAGTTTGCTATGCGGTAAGCTGTTTGTTGCCGTGCAGTGACATATAGTTGCTAACATCTACGTCAATTGGTCTCTGGTGGATATTTGTCTCATTGGCAACCATACGACATCTCCATTTTTTATATTGTACATCATTTTCTTTTTGGTCATCTTTTCAGTTTTTCTTATCCATATACGACTTTTGATGCCCTGCTTGACTTCTTAGTCCAATGTTTCAGAAAGCAAAGTTTAGAAAAACATTCCAATTCCTTATTATGATCTGACTCGCATTAACGTAAAAAAACATGTTTAGCCTATATATATGTATTGAGTACTAAGAACATCATTAACACTTCTGTTTCATGAATCGATGTTGTCTATGTGAAAACTAGTATACTGATCATGCTGATCACTCGATTAATCATTCACTTGATTATACTGATCATGCTGATCACTCGATTAATCATTCACTTGATTATACTTATGATGCTGACCACTCGATTAATCATTTACTTGATTTGTTATATTTGTTTGTGTTGTTTCATTTTTAATTTGATTTAATATCGAAACATATGTATTTTCAACTAAGTTTGGCATCAAAGAAAAAAGCAAGTTAATGACAATAACAATAATGGCATCAATGTTACTACACTAGATGCGCAATTAGTCAGTTCCAGAGGCGGATTTTGAGGGGGCAAGGGCCCCCCTTTTTGTGGGAAAAATTTGGTTGACTATATAGGAAATCACTGAAGCATGACTGGAGCGGGCCCCCTCTTAGGCAGTCAGTGGGCCCCCCTTTTGAAAATTTCTGGATCCGCCAATGAATTCAGGGATGCTCGAGGCCAAACTATTTGAAAATCTAAAACCTAATACAAACGTTGAAAAGCTGAAAAACAAAAAGGATCAATAAACAGCAATACCCGTATACGGAATCAGAATTACAGATTCCTCAATGTTAGGAATATATCATATATCTTTGAGTAATTGATAAAGGAGAAGGTGCGATGTAAGGTCTAACTATCCCTAAAAACAAAAGTATTGAAATGGTCTCTGATATGAAGAATCAAATGATGTATTTATGTACTTTAACAAGTTATTACAGTTTTGGTAAACAAAAAAATATTCCATTTTCACTAGTTATTGGGCCAAACAAGTAAAAAAAAATGGCGAAATATTGACTTTTTGACTTTATTAATAGCACAAACATCACCCAAAAAGATATCCATATTAACTGTATTTATTTTGTGCTTTTATTGACTGAAGAAACAAATTGTGACCAAACACTTTCTAAATTTTGCTAAAACTGTCCTAAACAGGCTATCTCTGATAACAATATAAAAAATCTGCTACATGACATCACAGTCAATTTGTACTAACAAGGTTTGTCCTATACTAAAACGTTCTGCTTTTTCAATACCTTTCTGGTTTTTCCCCACACGGCCATTTTTAGGCCACAAAATTACCTTCTCCTTTTCATCCGATTAAAGTAATGCCTCAAGGGACTGGTCATTATTTTTTTTACAGAAAGTACCACACACACGCATTAACAGAATGGTGGATAAGTTCGATGTTTGTATACACAAATAAAATAAGGTTACATCATATTGGTGATCTGCCGATGCCAGATCATCACGTTTGGTAATATTTTTCGAAATTCTTAGCAAATCACTTGGACAACTTGCTTAATTTTGTCAATTATATTGTGGAAATATCATTAAATGTAAATGTGTAAATATATATATATATACAAAGGGAAATGAGAGAACAGTCCAATTGAGTTCAAATAGTGTGCATTCAAGCACTTATAGGCCACCGTCCGTATAAGTGGTTTGAAGCGATTACTTGAGAAATAATTCTTTCATGCCATGCTCTATGCTCATTTTAACATGGGTAGGCATTATATTTGTCAATATCTTTACACCGAGCGTAAGCGAGGTGTAAAATGTTGACAAATATATTGCCTATCCATGTAAAAATGAGCATAGAGAACGGCATGATAGAATTATTTCGATTCCAATAGGAAAATTTAAAACTTTTGTACATCGAACCGGACGTTTAATGCACTTTCGAAAGGCAGACATTTTGATTTGATGACGCCAAAACGTTATAGACAATCAACCGTTTCACGATAAAAATTAATAGATACATGTAAACTTACTTTTAGAATGATTTTACTTAATTTCCTAGCAAGAAACACCAACACAAATGTCCGTTTTGATCTCCGGCGTTGTTCAAAATACAACTGACGTTGCAATTTCAATTGTGACGTCAAATCACGTGCATCCCATGTTTTAATGGAATAAGAACATGGCTTTGTTTCCAAAGCGAAAGAAAAACAGCATATTAGAATCTGATATGATATCATTCATACGGTCATAATTATAAAACCAAAATTATTATTATATAAAAACAAATTTTGTTTGCTAAACGAAAAGCTGAATAAAATCATTTAAGACGGCAGGGAAGATCAGACTTAAAATAAGAGGGAGCGCTAGCTATTTATACTGTAAATCTATGATGTCTCTGTACTGGTCAATGGATCAGATTTGTCATACTTAATTAAACGATAAATTGTTGAAATTAGATAACATGTTTTCACGTGTAGAGAAATTTCACTAATGACCAGTGCATGATTGGATTACATCTTTCTTATTGGTCAATGATCTTGTAGGGTCAGCACGAGTTCACGTGTATGTGCTGTGTGTTCCTCTGTTATAAAGTCTAGGAATTTGGCTTATTAACGAGTTATACTTGCCATGAGTAAATCATCGACGGGTGTCATTTATTGAACAGGAAGTGTTTCCCCTTCAAGAGTACCTGCGTTTACCTTATATGGTGGTAAGGATTATATAACTTAATTTATAGTTTAGAGTAGGTTTTCGTGGATAGTTCTTTGGTTATATGTCTCTTTTATTTGGCAAAGTACTATCTTTGTGTGTTTTCCCCACATATGACTATTGATTTTCCCCTAAGCACCTTTGTCCCCTTTTATAGAAAGCAAATTAAAAAAAATATATTATCATTATTCCTGTTTGACTAGTTTAACTTATAAGAAAACAGGATGGCAGGCCTTATGCGGTTAGTAACAAGCTAGGTCACCATTAATACTTATGTAGTATGGATTTGTATATCTTATTTCACAAATTACATAACATCTGAATTTGTATCATAAACCATTCAAAAAAAATACCTTATGTGACATTGTCTCTGAATTCGTGATTCAATGACTGTAGTTTTTGTACCTGGCTGATCATGAGTGTGTTAAGAACAATAAATCGAAAATAAATGTATATATATATAATTATACATAATTTCCCTCTAGGAATTAACATTATAGGATTTTTAATTTTTATAATTAAAAGAAAACATTTAAAACTGTTTGCATAATTTTTGTAATCATGTTCTTGATATATACTGAAAGAGACGCGAAAGATACCCAAGGGGCATTCAAACTCATATGTCGAAAATAAACTGGCAACACCATGACAAAAAAAAACGACAAAAGACCACAAGACAAACAATAGTATACAAAACACAACATAGAAACAGATACATAATCCGATATTGAAGTAATTCTAAAATTTAATTTATAAGCACGAAGTGAAAGATTCATTATATGTCAAGAAGCAAAATTGAAAATAAAGAAAAAGTTAAACAAAATCCTTCACTTTTCACGTTTTTTTTTTTGCGTAAACTTTTCATTAAAATGTCGCGACTTAGATCTTAATTGAACTTAGATTGGCAGTTTTCTTGTCAAGGCAAAGGGATGGCTGTTCTCTTTGGGTTACATCGGCATCCTCCACCAATGACAACTTGCCGTAGTGATAAAGCCAAGACCATTGAAAGTGGCATTAGAAAAATGTACAAAAAAAAAAACCAATCGTTGAAATGATTTATAGTTGGTGTTTATCTCCGCATCAGCCAAAAATTATGTCTTCTGTGATTTTGATAATAATTGGTGGAAAGCTTAGACAGGAACGACCAAAGAAAGTCTGGTGACATAGTGAAAATCCTTCAAGATTGACAAAATGATAGAATAGACAAGCCTACACTCGAGGTCTTCGGTTTGCGATCTATGTAAACGAACCTCATGAAAAGTTATAAACTCTTGATGAGATGCTAATCTAATCTAGTTGTGGTGATGGGATATACTAAGTATTTCGACAGGTCTGTTAAATATATTTATTGCATTTCCATACTTTTGTTGACCCCTATTCAAAACCTTATTAAACTTGAGCCAATAGGATATATAAAAAAGACCTTTCAAAATAGGGGTTATCGTCTTAATCAAACAATTAAGTCTAGGTTTCTCCCCAGGCAAATAAAACTTTAGCCGTATTTGGCGAAACCTTTTCGGATTTTTTTGTTTTCAAGGCTATTCAAATTCGTACTTGACATGACGAGTAGACGAGATGCGCGTCTGATGTTTCATTTTGTTTTGATTTGCCACTCCCAACTGTTTTGATTCGAGCGCCACTGGCGAGTATGTTGTAGATGAAATTGTTTTTATGAAAGAAATTAATCTAAAATGATATTGTTTATATTTTTCTTTTAACTGTCAATGGATTATCTTAGTTAGAGAAAATAAACGTACTGTTAAAAGTATGTGTTTGTAAAGTGAATCAAAATACTATATGAAGTTACTTTATCGAGCTACAAGGATAGTACAATTTTTGTTATATGACATTCGTCAACCAAGAACGAACAAAACATTATGGGGCGTCTATATAACTATCAGAGCCATGCTATAGAAATTCAAAGTTAATGAAGAAGATACGTACGTTTTTGCATCTTTTAAGGACCGCGCCGAAGAAAATCTTTGTACCATTTGTTGATCAACAGTGTACGGTGCCAGCCAAACAAAGTAAATACCGATGGTTAAAGCCCAGAAGGTGTGTCTTACATGTGGATCAAGATCAAATCTGAAAAAAAAACCATTACAATATATGAAACTAAACCACGTGTGGTATTAATGTATTATAAAACTGAAATCCTCATATTTTGAATGATGTTAAGGTGGTACCCAACACCTTGACTAATATTAATTTGGCTCGTTTAATTTTCATAAAATTTTGACAAAATGTTTACTTTGACCCTTTGACAAAAATATAAAAATTTCAAAAAAATTGAACCAACCACTTTATCAGAAAAATTTCATTGGTTATATAGCAGTTTGACAAACACTAATTTTGATCATTGAGAAGCTTAATATTTCCTTAACAATACAACGTAATCAAAACGTTTAGCTGATTTTTACAGAGTTATCTCCCTGTAGTGTTAGGTTCCACCTTAATATATGTTTATATGGTTGTCATATATTGAATAATCAGTGGTTATATTCTCCTGTGAATGTATTTATATTTAAAGTTTAATCAACCGTTAAATTTCAATATTTGTTTCTATTTTACATTAAGATATATTTGGTTTTGAAGTTAGGTTGTAGAATTCCTTTAATATAACATCCTAATTTTTTCACGTTAATGTTGTTTATAAAGCCCGTAAATTTTCTAAATGTTTGATTCGAGCGTCACTGACGAGCCTTTGGTAGATCAATCACGCGTCTGGCGTACAACATTTTAATTCAGGTATCTTTGATGAGTTTATTTACTACTTGCTATTAAATTAGATATCAAACTGGTAATCAAAATTCGAAACTAGAGACTTAGATTAACAAACGTTTAAATTTTGCGTGGAAACTCAACTTATTTAGACAAAACTTGCCCTCAAAAGGAGTTTGTTTTCTGAAAGACGGCGTATAGGTAGGAAAACATGAGAGGTACATTTCATGTCTTGTTTATATCGAAAATGAACATTATAGCTAAAAGGATGTGACATTGCAATTGGTTGAAAAAAAGTGTGCTAAGTTTTACATTTTATCTAAAGTTTGAATAATTTTACGTACTAGGTAGTATAAATAAAAGGAGATGTCGGGTATACGTCAATTGGGCTGCACATCCCTCCTACAAATATTCACCCAAAAAGTATAACAAAAATACCGAACTCCAAGGTAAATCCATAAAGGGGAAGTCCATCAAAACTGACAAATTGTAACGTTATCACCAAACGGAACGAGTGAAAAACAACTGTAATATTCTTGACTTGGTACAGGCATTTTCCGAAGAAAATGTGCGGTTATACCTGGTTTTATTGTTAGTTAAATCTCCAACATGTATGAGGTCATCATTGTATGGAATTTTACACATAAAACTGTACATATGCAATTATTCTTTTTATACCCCCTAATCTATAAAAGCTGTTGATAGATTTAACAGAAACTGTCAATGATCTGCTTTCCAAAGGGTGACTTGGAAATGGAAATATGGTCCCTTTAGTCCTCTTCCGCAATAAAACCCTTGCCAAATTGGGGCGCCTGTTTGGCTGTGCGGGGTGTATAAGTACGCAGCCACGTCCGGTCAGAATGAGGACGTTAAATCCGATGCCTTGAATAGAGAGTGCCATGTTCTCTGCAGGTAAGGAATCCTGGAAACAGCTCTTTGATGGGTCCGTAGGTGGCCTGTTGCAAGGCAAAAATTCTGTTCCTATCCAAAATACCCTCATTTTCCAGTGGCAATCCAAATTTCCCTAACCTTCTTCTCGGACGGCCTCTACTACAGGACCTACCTATTGAATTCATTGTTAATGTGTTGCATGAAATATTTGCCACTAGAAGTTAAGAAAACATCAATCAATCAACCAATCAAAGATCTGCCATCAACACTAAAATCCCTGATGGTCAAACAACACCTGGTTATAATTGGTTACAAGTATTGGCAAGGTTCCTGACAGGCGCACTTAATCTCCCGCTCATTTTAAATCTCATTGGTATGTTGTAAGTATGTCAAATCAAAAGATTTGTTTTCAAATAATGATGAAAAATAATGTTTTAGAAACTTACAAATTTGATGCAGGGGAACAAAACCAACGTTAATTTGCTGATAAAGAAAAATAAAAACGGTCGCAATGTTATCTTAAGGCTAATACAAATGATATATATTTCAACCAAATATCTATAAAGCATTTTCGTTAAAAGTGCTCAACAATATAAGAGATTACTTATTATCATAAATTATCTTAGGCTTTATTTATACCTAAAAAACTCTATTCTGTTCCCTCTGTCGGCGATATTCCATAACTCATATCCGCCTCCAACTTCAATGGAACCCTAGAAAATTAATTATTTGATTTACACTTAACAACAGCTGCTTATATGACATACTGACGAACAATTTACTGCTTCAATGTTAAGGACGCCATTGTGTAACTAACAACAGGAATGTAGTAGGGCTAATTTGTTTGTGCGTGCGCAGCAGGATGTGTGTTTGAGTGTGTGTGTAAATTTCATATCATAATCCGACTCCAATTAATATTTTCCAATGCATATATGCCGGAAAGATTATTATTCTTTTGAAAGTACACAAAATAATTTTTTTTTATTTTTCTCTTCGAGTAAATATTCATCTTATCCAAGAAAAATATGCTCCCCATTACAGTTTCAAAAGGTAATTACGATTGTCCCAAAACACTCCTAATGCCCTTTTCGCATTTTGTCGCCTCTAATTAGGTATAACACTTTAAATAAACATAGATTTTTTAGTGAGTGCACAGGTTTGTCTGTACTAAGAATATGTTCTGAGATATAACCACGTCCATGTTTGCCAAAAGATTAAGATTAACCGGATTTTTTTAAAGTTTGCTCGAAATTGTTTTTTTATTTCACTAAAGCATGTGGAAAACACTGTCGTAGGATTGATAGCAGGCAACAGAAATTTATCGAAGTTCAAATTATTATTTACTTCTTCCTTCCTTTTGTTTTTGAGATAAAAAAAAAAAGTGGTTGGGTCGACAGATGTGGGTCATTTAAAAAAAATGTCGAATTTTCAGTACACCCATGCAAAAATTTTAATTTCTAATGAAAAATGCAGTTGTAAGTGTTTAAATGAAAGTTTGTAGGATTTATGAGTCAGATAATATATAATAAACACGATTTAGATCTATTTTGATAAGATTAAAATATATTTAAGTCCGAATTTAGCGTAATTTATGTGCGTACAGTGTCCAAGTAACACATTTCAAATGATTTTTGCGTGAACCCCTGAGGGTTCAGGCATATTTATTAGTTCGAAATATAGTCTATGGAGGAATATTCGGAAGCTAAATTATTGTTCATTCGGAACACCTATTCATCTTATCTGTATTAGCTTCCTGCAATTAAGAGCACCTCCATACGGTGTATCTAAGATATTTAAAACATGGCAATACAGAATTTTCGAAGATCGCTAATTCACTTATCTGATATATGATAATAAACAATCTATAGATCCTTTTCAAATATGTATATTATTGTAAAGCTACATTTTATGCATTGCAAGGGTTTACTGACTTGTGCAAAGTTGACAGTTGTACCCTTTGATAAACAAGTGAAAGTTAAATGGTCAAGATTTAATTATAACGGCCTATCATGGTATCAAACATCTGTGTCTAGATATTCACAGAGAGATATTTTAAAATAGTGCTGTGGTTTCTACATAATGAGTTATAGTAGGCTTTGGGATTTGATTTGTAACAATAAAATCATTATGCACACTTGTCATTTTGACAAATCAGATAAAAATAATCTGTTTCAAATAAAAATAAAACAAGTAAAATAAAGACTGTTCGTTAATATACATTTTTACAACTTTTACTGTTTCCTTTTTACAGTATTCTCTATCAATTAAGTTATCTTGTAAGTTAATTAAATGTTTATTTAATTCATTGATGTCACTATTATTTCAGTAACCGCTGCAGAAAGTCTCGACTCGTTCAAGCGACTACTGCATGCACATTAAATTTCAAGTCCCATGTTTTTATTTGCACCATGTAAAAATGTTATGTACAGCACAAATTATTTCCTTCTTCACACACGGTAATGCTCTTAAATGTATGTGTGTTTTGGATGTGCACTAGTGATTGGTAAATATTGATAGGTTTCTGTGTTTTTAATATATGTGACTTAACATCAAGAATTCCATTATTATGGAATCGTTCACTTTTGTACACTTCGGTATCTAAATAGAGGGTGGTAAAAGGGAGGGTATGAACACGGAAACACGTGAAATAACAAATCGCAAAAACGTTGCACGAAAAAAAAACACTCTGGAAAAACGAAGCCAAGGAATGAAATCGTAAATATTAAGGAAAAAAGTACCAAACGTTATTACTCAGCCGTTCTTGGGAGATCATGCAGTCATTATAAATGGACATGGCGACCCTGCATGTGGTCACCTTTTAGCGTCCGTTAGTTGCATCCGATTTATCATAGTAATACAATAGGCTATTAATAAATATCTTGGGACCAGTTAATTAGTTTATAATTTAAAACAATTTTTGGGCTGACTTTGATTTAGTCCCGGTTTACTTTTTAATCAAATGCGGGACAAGCACGAGAAAATAAGAGTACCGACACGAAACACGGAAAATAATTAAGGGAAACACGAAACACGCACATCGAACCAAACACGAGAAAACGAGAAATAAAACGTCGAAACACGGAAACACGTGAAATATAAAGGCCGAAAACGTTGCACCACCCTTTACCACCCTCTAAATAGGCCATACTAGATGTCGACACCTCATATCAGAACTTAAGTAAATGGTCAATTTCGTTTGCAAGGTTAAAGAAATCTTCAATTTACTCTAATTTGCCTGTGAAGACCATAAAACCGTCATCCCTATTGACAGTGTAATTTGATGTTTTCTCTCCATTGGAACTTATCTAAGATTTTAATGAATAGGGCAGACATATGCAGATCTGTGCATGTTGGTGACAATGGGCGCTCCTATAATGTGTTTATATAACAGTCCATTAAACTCAAATTCATTGTTTCTAAGAATTAATTTAACAAATGCAGTTAAATCTATTTTGTTGTGAATCTTTAAAGTATATTCTCCTGTGTGTCAATAAATTCTAATGCATTGATAACAGTTTCTTCTAAATTATCAATGATCATATTTGTGTACATTGACGTACATTATAGACAATAAGAATGCATATTTTTTTACCTCGTGTGACTCTATTTTATTAATGAAATTTTTTGTATCTTGAATGTAAAAGTTATGCCTCTTCAATAATTGGATGTTGGATGTGTACTAATTGATAATTTAAGTCTTAGATGCATGATTTATTTTAATTAGTTGTTAGTGGCTTTGAACTAGCTGTCAGTAACTGCTAGTACTCTCAGATCTGTACTAAGTGTCTATTTGTTGTTGGGATATACAGGTACCCAGCCACGTCCACTCTGTGTAGTATTTCTGTTTGTATCCATCTGACGAGTTAAGCCTTTTTCAACTGATTTTATAGTTCGTTCTTATGTTGAACTGTTACACCACTGTCCCAGGTTAGGGGGAGGGTTGGGATCCCGCTAACATGTTTAACCCCGCCACATTCTGTATGTATGTGCCTGTCCCAAGTCAGGAGCCTGTAATTCAGTGGTTGTCGTGTGTTGATGTGTTACATATTTGTTTTTCGTTCATTTTTTGTACATAAATTAGGCCGTTAGTTTTCTCGTTTGAATTATTTTACACTTGTCATTTCGGGGCCTTTTATAGCTGACTATGCGGTATGGGCTTTGCTCATTGTTTAAGGCCGTACGGTGACCTATAGTTGTTAATTTCTGTGTCATTTGGTCTCTTGTGGAGAGTTGTCTCATTGGCAATCATACAACATTTTCTTTTTTATATTTATAATTAGATCAAGTAAGTATCTCTCGCGGGAGAGTTACAATTATTGATGATTGGTCGGTAACGAACATTAATGTATCCTGCTAGCTGACCAGTTCGCAATGCTTCATTACTTATTTCTAGATTAATCTTATGAATTTTTGGAAGAAGGTACATGTGTCCTCCATGTTTTGAATTATTATTATTCTTTAAGAATTTATACGTCTGGGAATCTTTAATTTTTTCTCTCCTTGCTTTATATTTAACACTTCTCTCAAAATGCCAAAATTGTAATGATTTAGAATAAAAAGAAAATATTATCCTCCACACACATGGCCAAGATAACACTGATATATAATTTCCTATTCAGTTGGATTAATAATTTGAATAAAAAAGTTCTAAGGTTCACGTATTGTCTTTTTTTTTTTAAAAGCAACTTGTTTTCCTATTTTCTGATCGCCTTGATATCTGCAAAAGGGACCTTTTTAGAACGTAAATAATAATTCTAACGAAAAATCGTAGCTTCTTTATTATTATATGTAACATTTTTTCTACAAACTAAAGTCAATCAGCGTACATGAATATCATGTCCATCCTGTTAACGCTACTTAAATTAGCCGTTAAATTTTCTCCCTATGAATATTGAACTAGTCAGTGTTGATTTCAAAAGCGCAAAGTAACCTAAACATTTAACATAGCACGTTTTTTTGTATAACAGTGTAGAGACAAGAAATTTCAAGACATTCAGTGAAAAAAAATAGTGTGTACTTTTTTTGTCATGTCTATTCTGTTACCAACATATTGATTAATTACACCAATATTATACTTGCAAAAAGTGCAATAACGTGTTGGAAGCCAAAATCACAACAGAAAAACATTATCACTTCATCAAAGGGAGTAGTTATTTTACAACAGCATTCAAAAATGAAGAAATTTGTCTATCCTGTAACTACGGTTGCTATGGTTACAGTAACAGGATAGACAATAGTAGACAGAAACGTCTGTAAAAAGTTTATAATAACATATAGTTGCACACATAATGAAATGTTTCGTTGTTTGAACTCATCTAAATGTTATCACGTCTTAATCTTCGCAATTTAGCATTTGAAGGTGTAATACTGCTATCGGTAACAGGATAGACAAAAAGGTAACAGGATAGAACTTAATATAGTGATAATCATTAACGTACGTTCCTGTTACCAATAAAATAAAGACAAAAGAAAACCAACGTGCGAGGGGTTTACTTGATGTTGGGTTTATTTGAAAGAGAGAACAAATGCTGATCATTATGAATTGCTATCTTAGACTTTCATTACTGGTGGTTATTTTTATAACCTTTGAAAACCAATTTTTAGAGGCATTTTTCAGTACAACGTGGAAAATTGGCAAATATTCTATTATTTCACAGAATGAATATATGTAGAAGTTTTTATTCTTGAAAACCATCTTATTGGCTACGAAAAA